TAGAAAAATCGAATGAAATCCAAGGGCCTTTTAGCTTTTCGAAGTTGAAGTTTTAGCGGCAAATAAAGTTCGAGAAAATTGCATTTCTTTGTTTGGAGCCGAAAGCTGCAGGGAGCCACGATGGTGTTGGTCAAAACACCTTGAACCTTCCATTTTGTCATCACTTGTCATATTATCTGTTGTTCTGGACGATCGCAATGCGGGATCTTTTTACAAGGGCAAAGGAGCATTTGGACTCAACGTTATTGCAAGCGATGGGACATTTCCGGTCTTGATAAAGTCACGATTTCGATTTGTCTCAAAATTTTGGCTTTTCCAATCAAATATTGCAAGAAGTTTCACTAACATATGAAAGACAAAAGTTTAAAGTTACGAAATTTCAGAAAAAAATTTTTTTCGAGCAAATCGTCATTTTTCGTATCCTAATACCTTAACTGACAATTGGCCAAAATAATATAAGTTAACCGACAAATAACCTAAAATTAGTAGTCAACAGTTAACTAATATTACATTATTTTGGTTAATATAATGAAGGCATTTAACCCGCGAAATAAAAATTATTGGTCAACGTGTAATAGTCAAATAGACACAAAAGAAAACAATGGAATCAGGGTCTACTAAAGTGTGTTAGTCTGTCTATTTCACGGGTTTAATGACTTCACTCTATTATGGCCAGCGCTCGTAAAATTATTACAGTTATAGACTGTCATTTAGCCGAAAATATAGTAGTTAACTCATGACAATTGGGTATACCCCAATTGGCACCCTCCTTTAGAGCTTAAGTGAAAATATTCAGAATAAAGGATGGTTTGGCGTTATATATGCCTTCTTTAGACTTTTCATAATTTCCCTTTCTACATTTTTCTTTCTACGTTTTCCTTTACAGATATTAACCTACAAGTCAGTACTGATCACGAAAAGCACGCTGGTACCGATACCTCTAATCCACTTATTCCCAGCCTTGCTGGGGGTCTTGCAGTTGTATTGATTATTGTCTTGATAGTTTTGGCGTATACCTTCTATCGAAAGAAAAACAAACCCCATAGACCCGAAACTACGAAGCCAAACGAGCCCATTTATGCCTCGGTTAACGGACCACGAACTTGTTCGGGTCACGAAGAAACGACGGAAATCACCGACGCAACTACGGAAACCAATGTCGACCAAGAAACAGAGGCCCGTCATGTTTATCAAAGTCCCACTGCTAGACCGATAGCTGTCAATGTTAATGACGGTAATGTTGCTATGGAAACGCACTACATGGATCTTAACAACCAGAGGAGCTTAGAATCCAACACTTACCAGTCTCTTAGCAGTCAGACGATGAAGAAAAATCAGTTGAAAGTAGTTGTTTATGATGTTCCTGTTGCGAAGAAGAAAATCAATGCATATGAAGAAGTTACACTTAATAAAAACATGAGCGACGAGAGCCATTATTACAAAGGACTTGAGAGGCCATCCACAAGTCGAGCAGATGACGTCAATGCCGTTGATATGGAAACTGAAACCGCTGACCAAAGTAAAGGCGGTGCGGGGGACAGAAAATTCATGAAGCGGAAAAATTGTGACGAGGACGAATCTGGATATGCAACCCCTAAGTAAGAAGAAAATTTGGAACTACAAGATCGTTAGGAACTATTGTTAGGAAAATATATATGTTTTTAATTTTTTAATTATACAAAGACTACGAAATCATGTGGTTGGTTTTCCGGATAATGACGTCATGACGATAAGTCATGTCATAAGAGATTTAGCCATGTTAGAAAAAAGTTATCAGAATCATGAAGAAATTGTGGCTTTTCTGACTTGAATGAACGTGTAGATATGTCAACAATTTTCCACTTAAATATTTCAACTTTTTTTTTTATTTGTCACAAACTTTGATTTACATGAACACTTTTTTTGATCTTGGAGCATCTTCAATGCATGTTCAAAACTGGGGCCATCTAAAAAAAAATATGCATTCTCTTTCATCTAGCTTTCATACCAAATGGAAATATAGAAATATAAAAGACCCTGTTCAAAAAGATATTTTGGATGCGAGGCAGGACAATATACAAAAAAAGATTAGTGCACTTAATCTTTTCTACTGAATTTGCGTCATTTTTATTTCTCGTTAGCTTTGAATACGAGATATGTTTTGAAAGGGGTTTATTTTTTTAGTTGTGATGCATGCATTCTGACAAGTTATGTCGATGTTAATACCTTGGCTTTTTTGTTTTGTTTTGTTTTGTTTTGTTTTTTTTTTTGTTGTTGTTTTTTTAACTTGGAGCATCTTCGATGCATGTCCAAAAAACACATACTTTTGTGTCCTCTTTCATCTAGCTTTTATACCAAATGGAAATATCGAAAACCCTTTTCAAAAAGATATCTAGGATGCCATACTAATAGGAAAATAGAACAGAAATTTTACGCTTAATTTTTTGATGGAATTTGTTCAGTTACTATTTCTTTTCTCGTTAGCTTTGCATACTAGATAATTCAGAAAATGGTTTATTTTTTAACCGTTGTGATGCAGTTCTAGCAAGGCCTCCGAGGACGGAAAGTTTAGATCTAGCTATTTCCAAGAAAGGAGGTTGTCGGAGCGAAAAGAGATAAAAACGTTGAAATGAATGGTGTTTCTACTTATTGTTATCGTCAACAACAGGGAGGCTAGTGTTGAGATATGCAGTGCTGTATATATATGTAGTCAAGCCTTTTTACTTAAGGTGACTGCCTACTTTTGRAAATTGATTTAAGCTTTTTTTTAAATTTCGATTTTCCGAATTGAAATTTAATGCTGATTCCAAATCTGGAAAGAAAAATAGGGTGTCCCGAGCTCRTTTTCGAGATAATCAGCATTTAATGGAAGCCTACGCACGAGCTTTTGGAGTACAAGTTGCGCCACCGGAAGTGATTAGAAAAATAATTAAGATTAATAAGATAATAGTTATTTGCAGACTCTATGATTGCACGAACGGAGGCTAGTCAATCCTTCTACAATAATAAATGGATATTTTCGACAAAAAGACAGAGAGATACATTGATTTGTCATATTTTGTAGTTTCGGTGCTCTTAAAAAAGCTCATAAAGTCGAACAAAAATCCCTACAAAAATCTATTTTTTCACGTGTTCCTGATTTAAACTTTTCCTAAAATGTTGATATAACCTAGATTTTTAGGAGTTTTTTCGAATGAGCTATCAAAAAATATAGAGTCCCGTGCAAAATTTGAGGGTTTTGCCCTGTTGAAGCTGAAAACGCGTATGGTTCTTCCATAAAATATTGTAGATTTTTCAGCGGTTTTCGAGCGCGCGCTCATCGTGGGCTCAAATCGAACGTTCAAAAGTAGGCAGCCACCTTAACCACATCGATTATTTTTAAATAAATGTATAGGTATTTGAATTAAGAATTGGGAAATATTGCTAGAGGGTCAATCTGGACCAAATTATAGTGGTGTAAATAAATGAATTTCCAATTTTGAATTAACTGACAAAAATATGTAAATCTTGGATAACATTGAAATGTAATTTGATAGATAGTAAAATTCAAGACTAATCTCTATTTTTATCCTGTAGTACGTCCATGTAAACTATACGTCTGGCATCATTAACTTATTAGTTAGGTTCGTGTACGCCTGGTATATATCCGTGCATTTCCGTTCATTACCACTTTTAAGCTGTATCGAAAGCTATCATTTTAAGATTGTTTGAGTAATGATTGTTAACAAGCCTATACCTAAAACAGGAGTTTACAAGAGAGTTCCATCATTTACTGGGAGAATTCAAAGTGCAAACTTCATGCGCATAACTAGTCACTAATCAACAATCGTTTTTGAGGTGTTTCCTGGTGCATTTTAGATATGAGTTTGCCTTATTTTCAGCATTTGAGTGCTTGCTTTTGTCTGTTGTTGATGTTTCTCTTTTTTCGTCAAACTACACAAAATGGTCTTGTTAAAAATGGGACGAATGTCTGCAAGAAAACTGTAAGGTAAGCATTTGAACAGGAAACTGCCCTTGTCCCTGTCCTTGTCCCCGTCCCTCTCCTTGTCCTTGTCGACGTCTTTGTCCTTTTGTCCCTGTCCTTATAGTTTTCATCGTATTCTTCATTTTTAGTCATCTTACTTTTTTATTCTCTTACTATTCAAAAAGTAAGGTCAATTTTAAATTCAGCAAAGCAACCTGTTTATCCGGTTTGAATGAAAAGGTTATCGAGTTCCGCTGTCCCTATAACGATTATCCTTTAAAATCAATTAGAGGATCAACAACAACAAGCTCTTTAAGGAAACCAAATTTAAGGCCTTAATTTAAGAACCATTTATCCTTTCGAAAGCCTTTTCCTCACTATTTCCTATTCCATTTAGTTTCATCCTCAAGGGGATATTCCACTCATGATACTCTAAACCAAGTAAAGACACCTTGCAGCATAATCCCATTGAAACAATAGATTCAGGAGAAATGGAATTAGATGGTTTGTCCTAAAAAATGAGCTGCTTTGGGAATTGCCGTAAGGGTCTATATAAAGTCAGTATATACATACGATATTTAGACCCTAACAACCGTTAAACACCCCGGTTACAAGTTCTCTGTTGCTCAAATGTTAGTCTTGATTCTGAGTAAAATATTTAGGTCTTCCAGTGAAGCCGTCCTGGGAATTTCGAAGTGTTTTGTATTTTAGAAGTTGTGCATATATTCTTTACTTTACCGTTGGGTTTTTATTTAGACGACTGATACGAGTTTAACCCTGAGTAAATGAGTCTGTAATCGAAGAACACAGAGGTGTTTTACAAATTCGAAAAATAGCATATATAAAATTTTTAAAAATGTCTTAATTTTTGTATTTACTGTTTAATTGTTGTCGGTTCTTCTAGCTTCCAACAGAGCTTCAGCAGTGCATACGACAGTTTGCAGATATACACCTACTACACATCTTGCGGGTTCTTGTGGGCGTCCTACTGCGCTAGATACAGGTACGTATGATAAAACAAAGGACAATTATACCATACCTGATGAATTACAAATAAGGTACATGGAAATGGTTTCGTTGAATACAAACAACATTGAATCAGTCTCGACACTAAGGTTCATGTTCTTGATGATTATAAAAAGCAGAAACACAAGTTATTCCAGCTATATTCTAGCGTGGATCTTGGAATGATGTGTTTCCCGGCTATTGTTTATCCTATTGCTGTCGCCTATATATCGCGTGTTGCCTAGTTGCCTTTGACGATGACAATGATTTTTAAATAGCTGAATACCATAGACCTTTTTACCTTGGACGTAATGGTGTCCCATAATGTTCCCTAATGAGAAGACACATGAATATGGACTAACACGTATCAAAGATTGGCGTAGACATTTTGAAAACAAAAGATTCTTCATGATATAGTGGTCACATACACTAGGCATAGATCAGCGCAGGAGATTCAAAATTCAATAGAAACTTCTTGAACTTTAAATTTGAAACAAAGTTCGCTTAATCTGAATTTTCGGGAAAACTTCGTAAGGATCCTAACTTATACTGTGGGTGTATAGGTGATAACATACTTGTGGGGGTGAGGGAGAGGACTTGTGTTGGCTTCAAAGCAATGATGTTGGGAAGCAAAATTCACTTAATCATTGGAAAGTTTAGGTTCAAGTTAAAAAGAATATGACATTTCTGGTGTTTCGAAATAAGTTGGAAAAAGTTTTAGTGATAGCTGACATGAAGTGGAATGACTCCGAAATTAATATCTATATCACTGATCTAGTAACACCAAAATGACTTTTGTAAATTTAAGGTCTAGCTAACCGTCTGAAAACAAAATTTACTTCTTTGGAAGGCATAGGTTAAGCAGTAGATTGACGTCGAAGTAATGTTTATATTAGTGATCGAGTGCTACCAAAATGACTTAATTTCAGATTTAGATTCAACAAAATTTAACTCAAACAAATGATCTTATTCTCTGGAGAATGACAATGGGTCTGAAATGGAAAACTAATACGACCAAGATAAATAAAAAGGTCTGTTAGGCGTCCTGTTATGTGTGACGTAGTTTTTTGCTCTTGAGCTTTAGATTAGATGAAAACAAAATAATGAAAAGGGCTAGATTTTTCTCTCTTTTTTGTGTAAATTTCCAGGTATTATTATACGACACATTACAGAACAACTTATGGCATATCCTACAGAAAAGAGCAACAATGCTGCAAGGGATGGAGTCAAGTGGGAGATCAGTGTACCAAAGGTAAATAACCTAATGCTTGGGTAGTCACTAGAATATCCTACGGAAAACAATACCAATGCTGTAAGGGATGGAGTCAAGTGGGAGATCAGTGTACCAAAGGTAAATAACCTAATGCTAGGGTAGTCACTAGAATATCCNGAAAACAATACCAATGCTGTAAGGGATGGAGTCAAGTGGGAGATCAGTGTACCAAAGGTAAATAACCTAATGCTAGGGTAGTCACTAGAATATCCTACGGAAAACAATACCAATGTTGTAAGGGATGGAGTCGTGGGAGATCAACGTACCACTGGTAAATAACCTATTGCTTGGGTAGTGACTAGAATATCCTACAGAAAGCAATACCAATGTTGTAAGGGATGGAGTCGTGGGAGATCAACGTACCACTGGTAAATAACCTAATGCTTGGGTAGTGACTAGAATATCCTACAGAAAACAATACCAATGCTGTAAGGGATGGAGTCAAGTGGGAGATCAGTGTNGGTAAATAACCTAATGCTTGGGTAGTGACTAGAATATCCTACAGAAAACAATACCAATGCTGTAAGGGATGGAGTCAAGTGGGAGATCAGTGTGCCAAAGGTAAATAACCTAATGCTAGGGTAGTAACTAAGTGGGAGATCAGTGTACCAATGGCAAATAAACTAATTTCACTGTAGAAAACGATGGTCTATTTTTTCATTGGACTAGCATGCTTGCCAAGAAATTAAAAATATATATTTACGTTTCTGTTTCCAGCTATTTGTACTCAGCCATGTGTGAACGGCACGTGTACCAAACCAGATAATTGCACATGTAATCCAGGTTACTATGGAAACCAGTGTGATAGAGGTATGATGTCACATAAATCGTATCTGTGTCAAATTTTGAGGTGTATTTTGGCATAACTGTAGTTTTTCAAAACTAAGTTGGACAACTTTTTTTTAATGCTCTTTCAGACTGTCCTTCACATAAATGGGGACAACACTGTAGACATGACTGCCTCTGTCAAAACAATGCAACGTGCTCTTCTCACACTGGTATCTGTACGTGTACCCCAGGGTGGGAGGGACAGTACTGCAACAAGACATGTGACTATGGTTACTACGGTAGCAAATGTCAAAACAACTGTACTTGTCAGAATGGAGGTACATGTGACCCTGTTGATGGTAACTGCACATGCGCAGCTGGATTTCAAGGAGAGAGGTAAGCAAGAAATATTTTTTTTAAACCCCTAAAACAACGTTTGGGTTGATCAAGGTCAGGGCATGACTAACTCACAGTTGGAAACATGAGACAACTTCTGGGCTGATCTAAAGTCAGGCACGGCTAATTCACAGATCGAACCCTGAAACTGACAACCTCTGGGCTGATCTAGTCAGGCACGGCTAACTCACAGATCGAACCCTGAAACAACCTCTTGGCTGATTGGAGTCAGGGCATGGCTAACTCACAGATTAAACCCTGAAACAACCTCTGGGCTGGTCGAAGTCAGGGCATTACTAACTCACAGATCGAACCCTGAAGCAACCTCTGGACTGATCCAAGTCAGGCACGGCTAATTCACAGATCGAACCCTGAAACAACCTCTGGACTGATCTAAGTCAGGCACGGCTAATTCACAGATTGAACCCTGAAACAACCTCTTGGCTGATCGGAGTCAGGGCATGGCTAACTCACAGATCGAACCCTGAAACAACCTCTGGGCTGATATAAGTCAGGGCATGGCTAACTCACAGATCAAACCCTGAAACAACCTCTGGGCTGATATAAGTGTCAGGGCACGTGTGTTAGGTTTTTGTGAAGGGAGCTAAGGAAACCAGAGAACCCAGAGAGAACCCCTTGAATCAAGGGAGATACCCAACAAACTCTTCAGGAATTGAATCCTGTCTTGTATTTCACTGTCTTCTTATCTTATCACAGTTGTCAATTCTCCTGTGAAGAAGGAACATATGGTTTCTGTTGTGCGAGCAACTGCTCATGTCAAAACAAAGGCGTGTGTTCAAACATCGATGGATCTTGTGTTTGTACCCCTGAGTATACCGGCAAGATTTGCGAGTGCACTATTAAAAATGGCCTTGTTGGGCAACTGGGGTATCTGTGATCCTTTCAGTGGAGGTTGTGTGTAAGTATTTCATGCTTTGAATTTAAACTTCAGAGCACGCAGATTATATATGACTGTGAAGGAAACCCATAGTAAAGACGTGTAAGCGGACGTGACTTGACGGGATGTGACAATTAAAACATGCTGTGACCGTGACGGTGCCGTATACTATCATATTTATTGGATGATAGAGCAATGATTTCTCGAGCCATGATTGGTTGAGCAGTAGTCTCTTTATCGCCTTAGCGTTTAATCTTTCCCATTTCAGATCACGTGTCATCCATTGAGTATCATTTCTTAACAGTCGTGATGAATATGAATATGGATATCAGTGGCGGATCCAGGGGAGGGGTGCAGGGAGTGCGCACCCTTCCCTGGTTCGACTTTGTGYCCCTACTTCGAAGATAACCCATACAAAATAATGATTTTTCTCTTTGATTCTAAGGGGTGCACCCCTCCCTGGGTTAACTATGTGCGCTGCACTCCTCCCTGAACAAATTCTTGGATCCGCCCCCTGTATAGATATAAACAAATCAAAAAATCTTATTCCCTAGAAAATGACACGTGATCTGAGTGGAATCAAATTACTTCCAATCGAGCAACGAAGTTCCATTAAAACCCAAATAGGTAATGCTATTACCTTGGCATTCACCCTTTTTTGATCTTTTTATGTGTAGATGCAAATCTGGAAGTATTGGTCGAGTTTGTCGTCGTTCCCAGTGCCCAAACGGCACGTACGTCCCAGGATGCAACGGGAACTGTAAATGTAACAACAGTGCAACATGTTACCATGGCAACGGGTCATGTGACTGTCTACCGGGATGGACTGGCGATAATTGCACCAACACGTGTCCATCCGGTTACTATGGTAACAGCTGCCAATCAAAGTGTCAGATATGTAAAAATGGAACGTCATGTGAGCCAATCACTGGAGAATGTTCTTGTGTAGGGGAGTGGCAAGGGAAAGTCTGTGTCACCAGTAAGTATCCATCAAATACATTTAACTTTATTATTATTATTTAACTTTAAATTGCATGAGAATGCACATCAATTTGGATAGAACTCAAACAAAAAACCTTATTCGAATTCCGTTTGCAAGAGAATGACATGGTCTTAAATGGGTAAGCATTAAGCCTAATTGGATATGGCCAATTGGGCTATTTAGCGTGTTAGGTTTTGTGTAGGGAGGAAAACTGGAGTACTCGGAGAACCCGGAGAAAACCCCTAGAATCATAGGAAAGACCAAACAAACTCAACTCACTTGTGATGCCGAGATACAAATAAACTAAAGTGATAACAACAAACCTTCAAAGCTACATCGCTTTCAGGCATCCTTATCGGGAGTGAAAGTAAAGACAGAGCAAATGTTTATGCATGTAGATGAATGCCAATGAAACGAAACACCAAGAAATACCTCTCTTTCCTCTCATTGTACACTAAACATTACCATTTACACCGCCTTGATGATGGATGTCTAATAGATCAGTTTCGAGTTTCAAATTACCGTTGCGTTCCTTGATTACAAATTCATTTCGTATCAAAGATTGGGGTAGACATTTTGAGAACAAAAGATTCCATAAATGATCAGAACCAATTGAATAGCAAAATATACTCATTTACACAGGGCTAGCCTCGTATCAGTGTCTAAATATTCGCAAATACCAACGGTAAAGTAGAGTAGAGGACCACAGGTTTGTTAGAAAAATTGGTGACCAATGAGATTGATTTTGTCAGGGTTTGACTGACGTCACTTCCGTCCGTACGTACTTACGTCCGTGTACACTATTACGTGTTTTATCCTCTTGAAGATAAAATCATTATTATAAAGAATGCACAACTTCAACAATACAAACACTTTGAAATTCCACGGACGTTTTTAGCTTGACTGGAAAACGTGAACATTCTGCACAAAATCGAGGCTAACCCTGTGTCAATGAGCCTGTAATCAAAAAACACGGCGGTAATTAATTTGGAACTCGAAAATGGTCTATTTGTTTATAACATCAACATTAACTATTTACTTCTTTATCAGGATTCAACTCAACTAAATCTCAACAGATCAAGTCCCATCCATTCGTAAACACTCCACTAATTCTAGGCATCTTTGGTGGTTTTCTTCTTCTTTTCTTGATCTCTGTTGCGCTTGGCTGCTATGTCTACCGGAGGCAAAAGCCAGTCTACAAAGTACACTCCACTAAGGTGATTTTTACTTCATCGAACCAGCCGCAAGCTGTCATTGGTCGTGATAATCCTTTAAGAATTCACGAAGAGAAAAAAGATTTGGACGAAAATGCCTTTTCAGTCCCTCTCAGAAATTTTAGTGAGAATTTCTGTGCCTTGTCAAGAGAAAGCTGGCAAAATGGCGTTAATCACGCGACTAATTTCGATAATGTGGATGATGTTAATCAAGTGCATGAAGTGGAAAACTCACAGGCTAACGATGACGTCCAGAACAGTGATGACGTTTTTGATGATAGTGAGGTCATTGATGATAGTGACGTCATTGATGTTAGTGACGTCGTTGATGAGGATGACGTCATTGATGGCGATGACGTGCCATATGTCATGGATGGTATTGATGGCATGGATGGTGTTGCTGGCGTGGATTGTGTTGTCATGGGTACTCACTCCGTGAACAAGCGCTGTCCCACAACTGCACTGGATCAACATATTTACGAGCCTGTATTCCTCAAAGGGCAGCAAACTCAGTCGACCAGAGGCAGCCCAGTAACCGTCACGTATGACAATACTTGCTTCGATATTCTCGAAGATGAGTCCGAGTGTCTGTACGATACAGTTAATGGCGCCCTTGAGGACACAAAGACGTCTTCCTGCGAAAGTGAAAGCCTTCGTAGCTGGAAGGATATGTACGAGAATGTTGCTGGAGATTTTGGTGAGCTCACTGGCCAAGATGATAAGTTAGATGACGACACTAGTGACAACACAGAAGCCTAAAGTGAAAAAAAACCATATCACTATCAAGTGAACATGGTACTTTTTTTTAATTTTATTCAATTTGTTTAATATATCTTTCTCCAAGAGATTTGGGCGCCATGTTTAGGGACACAGTGGCTGTAATTATAAATACGCCTACTCGATCCATATTTGTAGTTCAAAAGCCAACAATAATACAAGGTCAAAGTAGTGAAATTAACATTTCTAACATTGGTGATAATTATATGCAATGGCTAATTTTAGAAGTAATCCAGTCCCTGTCAGAAATGCCAATCCCTTTTCTTGCTTCAATGGACGACAAAACAGGTCGCCCATTGCAAGATCGTAGCGTCGCGGCTGGCTGAAGAACAATAAATTACGTCAGTCATGGGAGGGGGTTCCCCTGACCTCACCACATTTTCCATGACATTTCAGATTCAATTTTTCAAATTTCTTTCGGTGTTGGTACCTTGTTTCTACAACTTGTAAATTTCTACAGTAGAATCGACTTTTAAGAACGAAATATTGATCTTTTTTCATAGAAAGTTCGAGAA